GATCAAAATTCATAGCTTCAAGTCTTGTTTCAAAGGTGAGTAAGAGGGATTGAACTTCTCTCAAAGACAGTGCTTCAACCTTAGACATAATGGTCACCATCACAGGGTTGTATTCATGGCCCAAACCAGCTAAAATGTGCATCACTTGTTCATCTTCTGAAATCCTTTGTCCTGCTGCAGCAAGGATGTCACAACAAGACTTCACTTGGTTGAGATAATCCCTCATATTTGATCCTCCCTTCTTCATGGTTTGGAGTTTGAGTTTGAACTGCATGATCTTTGCTTTTGACTGGCTAGAGAAGCCAATTTGTAGGCTGTCCCAGATCTCTTTTGAAGTTGTTAAACCAACTGTGCTCACCAAGATAGGCTCTGTGAGGGATGATAGTAACCAGGAAGCCAGGATCTGGTCTTGTCTAACCCAAATGAGGTATTCTGTATTCTGAGATGGCTCACTTGAGCCTTCTTGCACAAACTCCTGGGATTTTCTGATCAGAGGAGATAAAGTGATGAAGGCCATAGCCTTTGATAGCCGCTAGAGCTTGTTGATGCCAAACCAGATAGTTGTTTTCACTTAGTTTGGAGGAGACTAATTGACTTTGGGGAAAAACGAGTTGATTTGTCTCAGATCCAGAAAAGGTAGCAGAGGAGGTAAACATGGTGAATAAAATGTGGAGAATAAAGATGAACAAGAAGATATAAAAAATAATGGAAAAGAAGGATTTAGTATAGAGCAGCCCAGATTAATCTGGCGCTCTGATACCATAATAGATTTGTGAATCGAACATGGTGAAATGAACAAAGAGCACAGCAAAATGTATTCTCAGATTTTTGATGTTTTTACAAAAATGATTGGATGATTAATCCCAAAAGCCTATCAGCCCCTATTTATACTATCCTAGGAATATTCTAGAGAGTGGGACACCTCAAGAGTAAAACAAAAAGCCATAACAAACTAATATGCCAAACATGACAAATGTGTGTGCTGTTTTGCTGCAGGAGCCCGTTGGGACCTTTTGTCCTTTTGCATGTTTTCATGCAACACGTCTAGCACATGCTCCTTAGAGTCCTTAATCTTTTGAGGTAATTTCAGCTCCTTATCATTAAGTGCATGGTTAATATTGACGTGGGATATGCCTTGTCTTTTAATACATCTAGGTTGAAAAGTTCTTAATTATTTTACTAGTAGCATGAGAATTAAACAATGAGTAAGAATTATGTTCTACGTAATAAAAAGGTAAAAGTACACAATGCGAAAGTTCATAGCTCGCATCAATTCAAACGTAGAAAAAATGATAACCTTAATTAATGCTCTATATCAATTTGAGCCGGCGAATGATAGATATCAAACATACCGAAGATTAACATTTATAAAACAATATATATATTTGTTTTTTACATTAAAAATTGATATGCTAGCCTTAATTTATTTAATTAAAAATTTAATAACTTTCTACCATTTTTTTTTTTAATTTTGGAATAATATTTTTTTATCTGTTTCTTTTTTTTTTTATGTAGAGAGAGTAATCTAGTAGTTTTATAAAATAATAAAAAAGTTATCAGTAATTTCAATGACACGGTTGATTATTTGACATAGATATTCATTGTTTGTATAAATACCTTTTCAAAATCATAATAAGAATAATTTTGCAATACTATTGATGTATTGGACTCTAGGGCATGCTTGTTTCTTATGAGATCCAATCAAAACCAAAATAATAGAGAATCATTTTTTAATCACCTGACATAAATAAATAAAAGAGCTAATGAATCTATAATGTACATTATGTCCTTATTAAGTTAGTTATTGTTTATATTTTTATTATTTTTTCCATTAGGGACTCATTTTTTTTTAATATTATTGTTGGGGTTATAATATGTTTGTTTAGTAAAGATTTGATGGGCAAAGGATAACCGAGTTACTCGACTCGGGTCGATCTCGAAGGAAGGCTATTCGGAACTTTACTTACTATTCGATCGCTCAACTCAGAAAAAGAGAAAATAAAGTCCTAAACATACTAATCAATTTGGGTTGAGGTTGATTAACACTAATTACGACTAGTGAAAGCAAGTAAACGAGCAACGAGCAAGTAAACGAACTATGGAATCCTAGCAACTAATTCGGTGAACAAAGTCAAAAGCAACAAAAGCCAAAATAAGAGAAACGAACTCCATTTAGCATGCCTAAGAGCCAAAATCGAAATCCTATACGAAATAACTGAGCTAAATGTAAAGTCACGATTTTTCAAGTAGCAATCAATCAATCAATCAACTCCAAGCATCATAAACGAGCTCACAAAAGTAAAGGAAACGAAAACAACTAAAATAGCTACTAAAAATCTGATAATCGAGCAAGCCCTAATTACTTCTACGCACGAGATAGCAAGTAAGTACGAAATCGAGATCACAAGGCTTAAAAGTAAGTACTCACATTCCTACCATATGCTTGATCGAAATTGGAAGAAAAAGATTTAAACTTTGCATAAACGAAAAGTCACCGAAAGAAAGAGTAAAGAACATCCACACTTACACTAGAGAGAAAATAAAAGACTTAAGCTAAGAACCAAAAAAGGAAAAGTTTAATAATGAGCTAGATAATCCCAAAATGCAAAGGCCAAAAAGTATTTATACTCCACTCAAAACACGCACTAGAAAATGCAGATTAAATACGGCACTCTCGACCTCGCTACAACATTCGCGAGCACGCGAGAAGGAAATGCACGGGCGCGCATGCACTAGAGGGACTCTCGGCGTCGCGTGAAGATCCGCGGGCGCGGGCGTTGGGCAGCCATACTCTCGATCTCACGGTTCCAGTGGCTAGCTCGCGGCATGTCACGGGCGGCAGTGGACGGGAGCTCTCGACGTCGCGGGGAGTGTGGCGAGCGCGCGGCATGGCTGGTAGAGGCTCTCGAGGTCGCGGAATTGAGGGCTAGCGCGCGGACAACATAACTTAGGCTCTCGACTTCGCGGATGGACCTGCGAGCGCGCGAGTGCCCGAGGTGCTGAGGCACGGCTGGAAACTTTGGCACGAATCAACTAAGGCTCGGAACTCTCGGATGTGAAAATATCTCATACGCAATGGCTCGAAACTTCTCGGAAACTCGTCTTCTTCGAGAAATGCTTGTCGCTCAGAATGTGGCTCGACTCTCTCGAAATACGACTCGACTCTCTCTCTCTCTCTCTCTCTCTCTCTCTCTCGCTATCCTCGAAATAAACCTGAAATAACACCAAAAGTAAGGAAAAGTACGCCAAACTATAAAATAGAAAAAGAAATATAAAAACACACGATAAACGACAAAATGGACCGGTCGACACTAAAATAAACCTAGAATCGACTCGAAAGCACACAAAAACACATAAAAATAAACACAAAAACACAATAAACAATGTTATAATTTTATACTTTTTATATTAGGGCATCATTATGTTATTTTTTTTATTTAAAAAAAAATACATCACAAATTCATTTGTTTTATATTTCATTTCGTTCATACAATGATATGTTTAATAAATTAATTAATTCATCTTACTAAACTTAATCGGCAGTACATAATTAAGAAGAATTAATATTAATCAAACAAAAAAAAAAGCAATAAACCATATGATGAAGTAATTATATTAAACAAAACAAAGTCATGGTTAAGTCTTGTGTGTGTAGAATTTCTTACAAATTTTATGACTAATTAATCAAAACACACTTGCAATAAGCCATGTAAGTCTTTTTTTACACTACGTAGAAAGTCTTTGAAAGGAGACAATAAATGTTGTCTCTATCCCGTATTTTTCTACCAGACAGACAGGAGGAATGTTAAAAAAAGTATATGTTACGGTTTTGTTTTCATTTTCCCTTCAACAAACAAAGGGAATCAATTTTCAAGGATTTGAGTAGATTTTGTGTGACATCCCAATAATGGCAGCATCAGCTCCGCAGGTTACATGATTCATCAACAGACACATTAATTAATTAAAACATATTAATTCAAAACGTGTCGAGTCTAAGTGGCAGATTCTCACGCTTCGGATGCTGACATGACGAAAATCTATGCTTCGTGATGTTGTATCTTATATTATTTTGGCTCTGGAGTTAAGTTTGGTACGAGACATATAAATAACATTTATCATATATTTCTTAACTCAAATCCCGTGTTGTGCACGGTTATTGTACTAGTTTCATTTTAATTTTAAAAATTATTGCTGATCATATATAGCCTGTTTCCTCTCTGCAAGAAATTAAAGATTTTTGTTCAACGCTTTAATTATTTAATTAATTAATTAAATCATCATATAATTAAATTAATTCTTTACATATATAACATAATTAATTACACGTGGAGTGTAGAATAATTTGCAAATTAAATGTAGCATTACTGTTTATTCTTGCACTAAAATTACGGGAAATGTTATGGTCCCGTTACGGAACTGTTAAATCATTATGTAATTGTCGGGGATAGTTGATGTAACAGTTACAAACTCCGACAGAATAATTTCGTAACAGGACCGTAGCATCTCTCTAAAATATAGGTACTGTATTTCAACACACATGGAACAAAGGGTTCTTTTTTGCCCCCCAAAAGCAGTCAAATGAGGAATAAAGTTGTATATATAGTCCAAATTTCATTTTGGGGTATTGTTCTTTAATTTGGACTATATGTATGGCGATGTATATTGTTAATTAGTGTGAGCTAATTAATATCATGATTTATGGTGGTTTAATTAATTAATTAGAGGCTAATTAATTTCAATCACGCAATTAATATTTGTTAATCATCATCATTCCTTTCCATTAATTAACACGAAACTGTAACAAGTACATAATTTTTTTTTTTTTTTTTTTTTTTTNTTTTTTTTTTTTTTTTTTTTTTAATTGCCCAAACTTGGTGCCAAAATGCTCACCTTATGAGAACAAATGTAACCCAATAATAAAATAAATTCTCACATACACCAAATTCAAATTAGTTGCACATTAACTAATCAAAAACATAAACACAATTTAGGAATTTTTTTCAGAGTGAAAGTCTGAGTTCCAAATCTATGTCTTGGGAGCTACTGCATTCGACCGAGTTGCCATCGCCCGAGCCCATCCAGTCCATGAACTCTCTCTTGTTCTTGTTGCCCTACACAAAGACCCGATTAAGCGTTTAACAAATTAAGTTTGAACATCATATATCTGAATCACAGAAAATCGGTATAGTAAAAAGAAAGGTTACCTGGATTTTGGGGTCGAAAAAAGACCTAGTCATGCTCGGCTCGACAAAGTACTGTTGAGTTCTGAAGCCCCCATTGCCCTGATGCCATCTGCATAATTATTATTATTATTATTATTCTCCTAAAAAGTAATGAGTAAGAATTATCTTAAGCCAATATTGAAATTCAAAGATGTAATGTTATTACAATTATGTGAAACTTTACCTAGCAATGTTGCTCGGTTGCGAATCTCCGTATGGGATGTTCGACCTATCTATCTCCGGCAACCCCATCTGAAACATTTAAACATAATTTTAACTTACTATATATAATTTTTTTTTTTTTTGAAGTGAAAATAGTGGAAATTAAAAAAACATAAATTGAATAATTTAACTCAGAAATTAATCCAACTAATTATATTATTTTGTGCCAACAAAAAGGAATGTGTTCTAGGTTACAACTGATAAGTTCTAGGGTTACAACAAGCTTTGTCCAATATGCTTAATTAAAAAAAAAAATGAAAGAAACATTTATTTATCTCAAACCTCTCATATATATGTTCAATATTTTTATTTTATTTTATTTTATTTTTTAATTTAGTTACCCCTAACACATCAAAATTAAAACTGAAATAATAATAATAATAATAAAAAAAATAATAATTCATTTAATTTGCAAACTCAACATACCATGTGTCCCTGAAAGCCACTGTAGGAAGGTGGGGATGAAGAATGAGGGGTTTGGAGCCTCATATCCTCCTGCTAAAAACAATAACAATAAAAAAAAAAAATTAAAAAAAATAAGCCCTCTTCCCATAAATAAATAAATAACAAGGAGCTTAGAATAATTATGTTAGGTACCTGAATGTAATTAGATGGAGCATAAGGGTTATTATTGTGAAGAGAAGGCAAATAAGCGCAACCGAGTTGACTGTGCAACCTAATCTTCTCAAGCTGAGCAACCCCAAGACCTCTCTGTGGCTGCTTCGGCTTATCCGACCCGTTTTTCTTCCCCTTTCGAGACGAAGAAGACGACGACGACGTCAGTCCAACTCCACCTTCTCCGTAATAATTCCTATGGTTATGATGGTGTTGGTGATGATGGTGATGATCACCAAAGTAGTTGCTCCCCATCGATCGATCAATCTCCAAATTATATAAATCCACAAAAAGT